CCCGGCCAGCAGTGACTTATAAAGGGAGCAGCCCAGAGGAATGCATCTCCTTTGGCTGATAAGCCGAGATGACTGGAGGGGTTTGAACTACCTTTGCAAGTCCCGGAGGAGAGAGGGGGAGAAAGGAAAAAAGGGACGGGAGAGAAGAAAAAGAAAAATATTTCAGCACTTGCATAATGTCAATAAACAACCCCCCTCTCAAGTGGCAGGAAAGGAAAGGCTGGAATGTTTTGGGTGGGGAGGAGAGACAGTAGAGTGGGTTTGGTGGGTTTTTTCCCTTTTCATTTTTTTTTCTTTCTCTATTTAAATCGCATGTTATGTGTTCGTAATGCAAAACTCTGCCTTGGTTGTAGCTGGGGCTGCAGGCTATGGGTAAGAGGGGTGAGGGGGAAGTGGCAGGACTGTCCCGAATGCAAACTCCCATGGGCTGGTTTGTGGTGCCACCCCGCTGGAAGTGAACTCCAAACGTGCAGGCCAGGCACGAAGAGCTCTGGCATACCCTGGGCATGGCTGCGCTCACCAGAGTGCTGCCTTGGGAAACGCGTGGGAAATTACTCCTAGGCTAGGTTTAAGCAATACAAGCTCCCTACAGCCAACAGGCCCATAACCTATGCGGGGTCTCTGCTTGCTAAGACAGCACCAGTCCCTGCATTACTCTCCCATCCAGACTTCTGCTGACTTGAGCACTGTCAGGAGAAAATGTGCTGCTCCACCGGTTAAACCGGCCTAATTCTGTGGACTTCAGCTGTCCACAGGATCAGCGGCCCTGAGGAGACCACAGAGAGCCAGTGGGTGCTACAGCCCTGCCACAAATGCCATGAGAAAGCCAGGCGGGAGGGGAGCTGTCAGAGGAGATCCAGTCCAGCCGCCCCCTCGCTCCGCTTCCCCGGGTGCTGGCCCTCCTGTGCCTCTGCAACAAACACCACAGGCCAGATATCAACTGAAGTGAACTGACTTTTTGCTGTAGCAGTCACTGGAGTTTGCTGATTGGCACCAGCCACAATTTAAAGACAGGGTATTTAATTGGCCCCTTTTCCCCACCACATTGCTCTTGTATTTAGTTATTATTTTATTGCTCCCAAACTCATGTCATCCAACAGAAGGCATCCTTCCTCCCCAGGCTGGGAGATTCATTATACTGCTCCCGCCTTGCCTCCCGCTGCAGTGGGATAGAGTGTTTGTGGGCTGCACCCAATTTCCTTGCAGCACTCCAGGCACTCATCGTGCACCCAGCGCCTGGTCCTGTTTTTCTGGGAAAGCCAAAGAGGGTTGTGTCCAGGGCTGCTGAGAAGGAAAGCCATAAATTCCCTTGGGGAAGGAGGTCCCTATTTCTTGCACTGAGACAGTCCCAGGCCGGGGAGGTGTGCACTGCTGTGGTTACTGCTGTTGTGCTTGGCACGCAATGTGCTGCCATGCTCTACCCATGCCTCCAGCCCAGGCTCACTGTCTCAGCTCCCAGCTACAATGGGCAGACTTAAATTATTAGAGCAGCGGAAGGGTAATTTGCAGGTGCCTTAGCATGAATTCAGTAGCACTGTTAGCAGCCGGAGGAATTCTGGGGACAAAGTATTACTCTCTCACCCCCAGCTCTGCACACTCCTCACTCCTTTCTTCCTGCCATCAAGCCCCATTGTTTTGTACACTGCTGAGCATACTTCTATACTACCCAGAGGCTTATTTTTTTAAAAATAATTAGTTTGGAGAAGGAAAAAAAGCTACTGTGCTGATGTTTGTATATAGCTGCAACTCAAAGTGCTCTGAAATGTATCTAATTTGTAGTGAGCAAAATGTTTGATGCTGTCAGAAAACTAGGTTCATAAGGAGAGTCTCAAGCTGGCCATTTCTAAGCTCAGTTTACCCCTTTGTGTTCAACAAATGCTTGGGGCCAACAGAAATGACTCTGTTACCAAAATATAATAAATAAAAGAACCCAGTGCAAGTAAGCTTTTTGAACAAGAATAAAACATCCCCCGGCATTCACACAAGCCAAGTGCTCCAGCCCTGGGCTAGGGCAAACATGCAATGAAAATGGCTGGCAATGAGCACAAGATTTTAATGCTTTAGGTACTCTCACAAGAGGGTGTGTTTGTGTGTATGAAAGTGATAATTCATATTGGAAGTGCCCTGTGTTGACACAGTATGTGTCAGCGTTCAGAGTCTAGAGGGTCCCACAAAGCTGTTGTTAGGTGTTATACGTGGTTATTTTTGTCTACACTTGGAAAGTTTTAGTAGCATAACTGTGTTTTACGTATTTTTTCAACTCAGGTTTATTGGCTATATTAGCATCAAAATGTTTTACACCTGAATAGCTTAGCACTGGATCAGGAAAAAGCTATAGCACGCTTAGGACTTTTATTCCAGTGTAAATGCATCTACCTGAAGGGAGATTTTACCATTTTGTGGTTGTATTTCACAGCAGTGAAACCTTACAAAGGGTGGACACCACCGATTCCAGCCCTCATCAAAAACAGCCCACTAGCGAGAAACGGAAGTGGTGCCTGGTTTTGGTGTCCAAACTTGAAGAAAGTGCAGAAAAGGGAAACTGATTATTAATGTGCTTTTGTCTAAACCTTGTGAACACCCTTGACATGAGAAAGGTCATATCCCCTCTGTACAGAAATACATTGAGCCCAGTTGCTGCTGTAGTCCATCAAGAAAGGAAGGATGCTTCTATCCTGCAGCCTCGTCTCCCGTCTGGCAGCAAGAGTATTGCCAGGTCTCACCATTTAATTGGGAGTTTTGAGACAGGCTGGCTCCTTTTCCTTAAAGTCCAGCCTGTTAGTGAGGGGAGTGTGGGGCGCCGGGGCTGAGCTGTACGTTGCTGTGCTGGGGGCAGAGCACAAGGATGGGGAGGAACCAGCCAGGCAGGGAAACGGACCTGCCTCAGCCACGGGGACAGCCTGGTCTGAGGACTGGGGCCATGTTACCAGGTGCCCTGTGAGGATGCTGTGGTTTTTGGCACATGCTACATCTGCCCTTTCCCCGCAGCTGCTAGTCCTCGTGCCAAGGCTCCTTCCCATTCACCCGTGTGCTGAGAGTGTGGGATGGGTTCTCCAAATTGTGACCGGGCAGGAAATTCCCTCTCGAGCTGCAGAGGATGTAACGGGAAGAGGAAAAACCTCTTAGTCAGCATCAGCTTCATTTCTGATGGATGCATCAGTTTCCTCAGCCATAAGAAAACTCTCCACCCAAAGAAGTCCCCAACTGGAAAGCTGTTGTGTCTCTGGATCCCCCGGGGAATACAGATGCATCCTATCTTTCTTGTCACCTTTGTGAGAATTGGGGCTGGTGGGAAGCGACTTCAGAGCAGAGAGCACTTCCCTACCGTGGAGAAGCCAGGCACGAGCTCTCAGGGAGCTTCTCAACCTTTGCACCAAGGAGGGTGGGTGAGGGTGTGTGGCAAGGTCTGTTTGTAGTGCAACTCCCAAGTTAGGCACCTGGAAAGCAAGAGAGATACATTTAGAGGTGACTCCTAAAACTATGTGGGCCATTGTACTGTTCCTCCATGCCCCGGTTACTACTGTGCACTACAGGGGTTGAAATCACCCCCAAATCTCCCACAAAAGTGATTGCTACAGTGTCCATTGAGATGCTCTGCAGTTGCAAAGGAGGATGCCTGTCAAATGTGAGCCTTGCTTCAAAAAACTCCCCAAGAGCCAAATTATGCAGTAGCAGGACAGCCCTGAGCGTGTGCAGCCCTGCATGGGTGAGCTCTCCTGGCTGGGACAGGTGTTCCTCTGCTGTTTGGCTTTAGGCAAGTCCCCTGTGCAAATAACTTCATCTCCTTCTGCCGCAGCTTGTCTGGCAGAACAGGATTTTTGTAAGTAGTTTCAGGACCCGTCTTCTTTAAGGTGTGCAGCCCCCAAATCACAGGATTTCTCATGCATGTAAAAGGCCCCTCCACCTGGTGTGAAGTATTCGTGGTGACGAAAAACACATTCCAATATCATTGTCACTGTGGTTTTCACACTGAAGCACACAATGAAATAACTGTCAACCTTTCATCATATGTATATATTAGACCTCATTTTCCATCCCATTCCCTGACCTCTTAGTTAAAGGCCGGTTCTGGACAGGTTACTCGACTACCTCCTGGTTTGGTTTGTACACCTGCAGTGTGGCACAAAAGGACCCTGTGCAATGCAATCGCCTCCTCGACTCGAATACGTTTTCTTTCATTCTGGTAGAAGCAAGGTTTTGGGACGTAGCTGGCAGAGGGACATCAGATCCGTGTGACAGCCTGGGAAAAAGGGGGGATATAATGTCGTGCAACAGGGGGGCTCCCCATCAGCAGAGGAAGAACAGGGAGGGGATAGTCTGTGCAGCAGTGGTCAGGGTTGGCTTGGACCTGTCCCTGATGGGTGACTGTAAGGGGTTGCTCTTTGTCTTAGGTTTTAGCTACTTTTGCCCTATCAGCCATGCCAGCAGTTCTGTATTGATCTCATTTAAGCGAGGACTGGCAGACCTCCTGCGTGAGGGTGTGCAGTGTCACCCCGGGGGGTGCCCTGGTGCCACGGGGCTGCTGGCTCGCAGAACCCCACGCCGGGCAGTGAAGCCTGCGTGCACAGCCTGGGGAGCCCACGCTGCCTCAGACAG